ACCTCCATCCTTAAAAAAACTGATGGGGGACAGCCCGTCCGGGCCGGACTTCTTATGCCTTTTGAGATAGCCTAATCCTCGGGAAATCTCCATTTCAGATGGAGGACTGATGTCAACTGAGAGTGTTTGTCCAGTTGAGGCGGAGAGTGAAAGATAAGCTGTCTATGGGGGCCAGTTGAACGGACCCGCCAAATGTTCAGCCCATCGATTCAAACGGCGTCGCTGATGGCGAATCAGTATGACAAATATACATCAATACTTCGTCCTGTAGCTGTTGACCCGTGCTGAACCGTTGAGACGTACAGCGTTCAGTCGACTACTGATCGGAATCCAGTCAAGAAGCGAGCGCTCAACCTTGACACTTAACGCTATCCCGACACCAGCAACACCGCCAGCTTTGGATACCGAATCGCCTGGCACATGATGGGTGAGGCGTGAGGTTGGATCAGGAGAATGCAGGGAGATAATTGAAGTAGGGTCTTGTTCGCGTGTTTCACAGAATACATGTAAATTAAACGCTTCAAGGTTTCTAGCCAAGGCAGCTTGTTGACCAATCTGATAGTGTGGACATTGAACACGACTAGGTGAAAAGGGAATTTTTGCTTGAAAAATCGTGTGACTTCTGATTGTTTTACCTTGTTGGTAGAACGCTGAGTGATATCCGATGGGTCTTGTAAACAGGAGGCGGTTAGGATTAATCGGGATCGAGGGGAAGTACTAGACAGATCGGTGGCTAAAACTTTAGTGCACAACATACTTCACGGCAGCCCACAACGACGAAGGGTTTTTCTTCGGGAACCCTAACCGGAGTCTTTGACTCAAAAGTATGGCCTATAAGGCAATGGGGCGTAGATCCAACGCGGGATCGTGACCGTGTGGCAGCCTCTAGAGACCTGTCACTCAAGTTGTTGTTTCCCGTATGAGTTAATAAGTACGTAAGTAGTGAATTAAGTAGTTATTTTATTTCCAGTATGTAAACGCAAACGTAGCCGGTCCGTAAGCCGGTGAGCAAGCAGTGCGTCAACACGCAGGCAGGCAGACACGGAACTGGTGCAAGTCTAACCAACAGTAGTCACGCTGGTCAGTCAACGCGCCAATCAATGTGGAGAGATCATACTGACCTCTGATTCGCTGAGGTGGATCGACCTTGTAACAAGGTAAGTCCGCATGACGTGCATCCGTGCGTGCGGTGGCAGGCCGCAACGGTCAATCACTTGATGCGCGGTAAACGTTTCACTCGACTGCAGGCCACAACACAATGCTTTCGGGTTTCGGTCCAGTTTGTTTTTCGCTGGTGCGTTGATTGTCGGTCCGCTTTTCGGGGTCGGCCCTGAGCCCCATGCACCCAATGAGACAAGCGGAACGTGGACGGGACAACACCTTATTGGCTGGAGGTCGCCCAGTTTAGGCGTTTATGGTGTACAGTAGAATAAATAAATCCCATTTTATGCACCTACGTAATCGCAAGTCTAAAGCGTCAACACTATGCATGGAAGGAATCGAAACGAACGAAAGGGGATGGCAATGTCAAGTTCATGCTCGTTACCGTTCTAAGAAGTGTTGTGGGGTTTTGTAATACTCTCTCTCGAAGTCAAAGCCCTAGGTAAATTCCTTGGTCGCTGGAACTTTTAGTTCAACCAAAATTTTCCAACAGAATACGGTTGGCATTGAAGCGACTGACAACC